CCTTCGGCGTTTCTCCGCATGTATCGGGAAGGAGATTTGGAGATCCCCAGACTTGGCGCATGGGCCAAGAAGGCCCGGAGATCCACAACTGGTCGGGGACATGACTGGATTTCCCGTCTTCATGTGGGAAAGTCCCACTTGCTGCTGGACCGCCGCATAATCCAACGTCTCTCAGAACCTGCTTGGTCTTCCTGCATGTTCTGGACGGCACTGATGATCGGGAAATACTCGTTGTCTAGTCCTTCTTTCATCGGCACAACTTCGGGATTTATGCAAGGGATGGCCTTGCGACTTGATGAAGATGCCCCTTTCAATGAATTACCCCACGGGGTTATTATTATGATGAGGGCAGCTACCTGAGGAAGTGTATTACAAAAGGGGGCTGGTCTCCGGCGAAACTCAAAGCAACCCTGGAACTTTCTGCTGAGAGCAATTTCATAAAGCCAGACCCCTGGTGAGCTGGCTCAGTCAACATGACCAAGCTCTCTCTACTGCCTCTTCTCACATTGGCCTCTGCAGTTCTGGCAAAACAGGATGCTTTCCAGGCCAAATGTGCTAGTTTTGGACACAGGATTAAGCTCCCTAATGTCCACGTGAACTTCGTTGAATATGTCCCTGGAGGTACCAACCTCACTCTGCCCGACAACCCTGTCACCTGCGGTGCATCCTCCCAGATTGTGTCAGCGGATATGTGCCGGGTTGCCATGGCCGTTGATACATCGAACAGCAGCCAGATCACCTTGGAAGCATGGTTTCCGCGGGATTACACTGGCCGCTTTCTGAGCACTGGCAATGGAGGCCTTTCTGGCTGTATGGCTTCTTCTAATTCTTTTGTAAGATAGAGCGCCGTTGTGGCTGATATTCTTATAGGCATCCAATACTATGATCTTGCCTATACTGCCGGCTTAGGCTTCGCAACCGTCGGCGCCAACAACGGCCACAACGGAACATCTGGCAAGCCATTCTACCAGCATCCTGAAGTCATCGAAGACTTCGCATACCGCTCAATTCACACCGGTGTCGTAGTTGGTAAACAGCTCACCAAAATGTTTTATAGCGAAGGCTTTGACAAGTCCTACTACCTGGGATGCTCCACCGGTGGTAGACAAGGCTTCAAGTCGATCCAGAAGTACCCCAATGACTTCGACGGTGTTGTGGCAGGTGCTCCAGCCTTCAACTTCGTCAACCTGATCTCGTGGAGCATCCACTTCTACTCGATCACCGGATCAAATACATCGGATACATACCTCTCGCCGGCTTCGTGGAAGGTCGTGCATGATGAGATCGTACGACAGTGCGACGGAATCGACGGGGCAAAGGATGGCATCATCGAGGATACCGATCTCTGCCACCCTATTCTCGAAACAATCATCTGCAAGCCAGGTGCCTCTAACACGACCAGTTGTATCACCGGTGCCCAGGCGAAGACTGTCCGCAATGTTCTCTCCCCATTCTATGGCGTGAACGGAACTCTGCTGTATCCTCGCATGCAACCCGGCTCCGAACTGTTCGCTTCGTCGATCATGTACAACGGTCAGCCCTTTAGCTACAGCACTGACTGGTACCGCTATGTCGTCTACAACAACCCCAATTGGGACGCCACCAAGTGGACGGTGCAGGATGCCGCGGCTGCTCTGGCGCAGAACCCCTACAACATCCAGACCTGGGACGCGGATATCTCTTCCTTCCAGAAGGCGGGTGGAAAGGTCCTGACATACCACGGTATGCAGGACCAGCTGATCAGCTCGGATAACTCGAAGCTTTACTATGCGCGCGTCGCAGAGAAAATGGGCCTTGCCTCTGAAGAACTGGATGACTTCTACCGCCTCTTCCCCGTTAGCGGAATGGCGCATTGCAGCGGAGGTGACGGCGCCTATGGCATTGGCAACGGGCTGTCGACATACAATGGGGCTGAGCCAGAGAACAACGTCCTTATGGCAATTGTTCAGTGGGTCGAGAAGGGGATTGCTCCGGAGTTCATCCGTGGTGCCAAGTTCTCGAACGGGGTCGGTTCGTCTGTCGAATATACCCGCAGCCACTGCAGATATCCTCGCAGAAATGTATACAAGGGTCCAGGAAACTATTCCGACGAGAACGCATGGGAATGTGTTTAGTTGGCGGTCTCTGGTGTGGCACGAGACTTGAACTTGTACATCCAGCTTGATAGTATGCAATTAAGTCCAACAATCGAGTACAGGTGCCTCTAGTGTCCATACGCTATTCGGCTGACTGGCTAATCTGGCTGCCATAGGGTGTTCAGCCACCAGAAAATTGGAGTATAATTTCCGCCATATTCAAGGCAGCGTCCTTGCCATAACTTCTTTCGCAGGGAATCGTGCTGATGGCCTTGCTTGTGAATGTGAAATACATGTTAAGCGTAGATGATTAAGGTCCACAGCAGAGCGTAGCATAAGACTGTACACCATCATAGAAGTCTTAGACCAAAGGAGTTCTTTTTATCATAATCAAATTCATTGCAGTGTAGATTGTCTCAGAGCTTGGGGCACAATCCATAAATACAATGCCATTGAAGCGGCAGAAGGTGGCGGTAGTGAGGGGCAGAAATGTATACATCTGCGGACTCGATTGACAAATGGAGCAATGCCTCCAGCACTTCCATACTCCATCTCACTCTGCGATATTTTGTGCGTCTGACCAAAATTAGGGATACTACGCATACAAACTAGGAAATAGTAGGTGATCCTCTTTCTTCTGAACATGTGAACCTCGCGATTGGCAATATCTCCCTTGATCTCCGCAAAGACTGGACAACTCCACATACAGACCGCCTTGGCAACTTAGCCCTGCTTGAGGTAGTCGCAGTTAAGAGAGTTAATTACAGAAGGCGCTCGATGATGAACTACTTTCGGGGGTGGAACTGATACTACCTTTGTCGCATAAATGCCTCTTGCTGACCGGCAGACTTTCTAGCAACCACAGTTCCCGACGCTTCGCAAAGTGGTCCTCAGCTTACATTCCGCTAGCTAGGGTTGATCCTTGATTTTGCAAAGTTACCCCAACCCCGCAATTGCTTGAGCGTCCTGATCGAATTGATCCATCGCGAAGAAGTGCGTGATCGCGCCAGCTTTACGTCGAGAATTTGCAAGATCAGGACGTTTTACCAGCGAATTTCAGAAAAATGGCCGATCCTATCGCCGACGCGCCTGTCATAGACGAGTTCGCGCAAACTCGAGGCGGGGATGATCTGTTTGATGACGAAATCATCCCAGTTTCTGCGGACGAACAAGTACAAGCTGAGGTCCAGACACCGGAGGAGAATGTTGCAGACACCGAGAGCCAGGAGCCACCACGGATAGATACCCCGCCGCGCTCACGAGGAGTGGATAGACGAGGAGGGCGAGGGAAAGGAAGAGGGCGCGGAGGACGCGGGTCACACCATTCAGGTCGCGGACGCGCAGAAGGAGGACCCAGGGGCAGGTCTACTGACAATACTGCCGAACGAGAGGACAACAAAGTGGAGGATGCAGCCCGCGATACGCCGGCAGAAGGATCAGAGCAATCCACAAAGGAGGATGAAACTAAGTCGGATGCTAAGCCCGCCGGTACGGCGAATGGAGCCGAAGCTCAACGAGTTCCAGCCGTTCGTGGTGATAGGAGCGCAACGGGTGGAGTGAAGAAGGTACGGCACGAGCCTATGTAGCTTTGAAAGAGACATGTACTAATTGTCGCACCAGCCCAAGCTCACGGAGGAAGAGCTTACCCGACGCATCGCTGCCGCCAAGGAAAATGCCGCTAAAAAAGCTGCTGCATATGCCCGCGCTGAGGCCGATCACGCGTCATTTCTCGAACGCGAGAAGGTTGCAGAAGAGAAGCGCCGCCAGGAACGCCAGAATCGCCGCGTGATGGATTCCGAACGCGAGCGCAACCGCTTGAGAAAGCTCGAAGCTTTGGGCGGAAGGGAGTGGGATGCTACAAAGCGCGAAGAAGACTACAATCCCGGTGGTGGTAGAGGTCAATTCCGGCGAGGCATGCACGGAGGAGTCTCTGGTTACGTCCGAAGAGATTTCGATGATGCCCGCACGGAAGAGGAGAACCTAGAGGGACGCCATCACCACAACCACCGCGGTCGAGGACGTGGTGGAAGAGGCGGGCGCGGACGAGGAGCTTCTCGCGTTGCGCCTTTTGATGGAGCGTCAGATGGAGCTGCTCCAGCAGCCTCCCCAGCCGCTCCGGTCCTGAACAATGAACAAGATTTTCCAGCCCTTCCTGGCGGTGATAAAGCAACGGACAAGACGGTCTCCGATCTTGCAGACAAGCTGGAGACCTCACTGTCTCCAGTATCTGGTGCGATGTGGGCAGACCAAGTCGAGTCGCAGCGGGATTAATCTACTCTACTAATGCCTCCTATGAATTTCTGTTCACGCATGTACGCTTCCCTTCCTAACTGTTTCTCATGTCTCTATGATGGATAGACCTCCGGAGAGGTTTTCTGATGTTTTCTTCTCTATTGACTCGAGTAATGATTGTCCTATACCACTGAATCGGAATGAAACTTGTATGTACATAACGCACTAGATGTTACAAAATCGGCAGTCATGGTGCCCATGCACATTGTCTGACACGTACTATCACATAGTCAAGGTCTCAGTATCTACCTCCTGGCTCGTCCAAGTCAATGCACAGGTTAGTTGTATGGAGTATGTGATGATTCAGCGAAGGTGGCGTGTACCAGCCAATTACCAAGGCGGGATGCGCTCACTATGAAATCATAGTTACTATGCAACTAGAACAGGACCCGATCGACACGCAGATGGTCGATGAGGTATACAGGTTGATCTTTTATAAAGACGTTGTAGCCAAGATATTGTTTGCAATATTCAACGTTGTGGAAACATTCGAAATTCCAGGTACGTTCGCCATTTAGTATACAACGAACTATCAAAACAATATATATCATTCCACATTGTATCTGCGATGCACCATAACTGACTCCAGCAAAAGACACAAGCAAAGAAATCAAAACCACAATAACCATCACAATGGCAAGCTCTTCCACCGACAGAACAACCGACAACGCCGTCAACCACGAAAGAACCTCTACCCAGGGTGGTGCCAGCGCCAAACCCACACCCGCCAACAACGCAGGCGGTGGTTCCGGATGGGGCGACAAGGGGTTCTTCAAGGGGGGCACAGGCACAGAGGGACCGGGACATGTGGACGTAAGTTGTTTCGATGCGTACCTCACGAGAGCGGAGCCTGGAACTGACGATTATGGTGTAGGCTGCGAACCCCAAGTCATCAATGGGCAAGTTCCTAGGTCTGAGTTCGCAGAAGGGTGCTGCGAGCTCGAACTTTGAGCAGCGGACTCAGGGGGCGTCCGATATGTCTGCTAAGGGAACATCGTGCGATACTGAGGATCATAGTTTCATGGAGCATCGGCCTGGATGTCCTGAGACGCTGCCTGGGTGGTCGAAGACGAAGGGGGTGATGGATATGTGAGTTTTACCAGGACTCGGACTGCCTTGGATTCTAAGGAAAGATGGGTTGGTACTGACGTTTGAGCTTTTAGGTTGCATGGCCAAGGTAGATAGTGGTATGCTGGATTCGAGTTGGGAGTTGAGGGAGTTACTGCGCTTTTATTACGTGATTTCTTTTTGTCATGAATAAACACTATAGGATCAATGAGGGTACTAAGAATCTAAGTATGCTATATTGTACACTACTCTACCTTCGACCTCTTTCCGCCGATACGGTCGCGTAGAGCTACAATCTTCCCTAGCAGTCTGCCTTTCAAGGTTTGAGCGGTAAGCGCAGCAGCCTGATCAGCTGCGACAAAACGGCGGACCAGGAGATTGAAGATGCTTCCGAACGCGAGTGCAATCACGGTACTGGTCAAGATGATCACGTTGTACGGCATGCTGAAGTCGGGAGTCGGTAGCGGGAGGAGAAGGCTGGTTGTGCGCATGTAGACGGGAGTATCGTGAGCAATGATGTTGCCGTTCGCGCTAGATAGTTTGATCACCGCAGGAGCGACGTTGAAGCCACGGTTGGCGTCCGGCGGATACTCAGTGTAGCGCAGGATTGCCTTCTCAAAATCATAGGTGAGTGTGACGATGGAAGCGGCAGGCACAGAGAGTGCAAGTTCCAATTGTGTGCCTCTTTCTCTATCGATGGCTGGTCTGTAAAATGTCTCTTTCACAATGTGCGAGACTGGAACCGACCTAGAGGTTCCGTCGCGCCCTGTGATCGTCGCGCGTAAAGTGTGGACATAGGGTCGCAAGAACCAGGGAAGAGTCTCAAAGTAGATGAAGTCGACCGGATGCGCATCCGATGGGTTGTCAAAAATGATACGCATGCCGCCTCGTTCTTGGCCATGGCCAACGATCGTGCGCTCCGCACTCAAAACCGGTTCCTCCAGAGGAGCCAAGCTAGTGTGAGATTGCTCGGGAATTACCAAGTCAAAGGTGCCGGATGGTTGCAAAGTGAAACAACGGGTGTATCCGTCGGGCCTTTTCGTCTCTTCTACTCCAGATGTGGTGTATACCCCTTGCTCATGCGGCACCCGCAGACAGATCGCTTCTTCACCAGGGCGTTGACCTTCGTCAAGAGAACAGACACCACTTAAAGTACGGCCAAAGATCTCGTTCAAGCTCCAGCCTTTGCCCGAGCCTCTTTCCAGAGGATAACAGGTATCGTCTGAATGATAAGGCTTTGAATTGTCACAGTTCAGCTGGTCATTAGGAACAGGACGTGGAATTGGGTTGTCTAGGAGGGTCAGAAACTACTGTACGTCAAAAAGAGAAAAGCACTTTGACAACTCACCTCGAGGCCGTTTGGAGCGCTCAATGTCTAACACAATGTCTACTGTTTGCTCGATTTGCATGAGACACTCCCCGCCTTGAGGGCAAACAGGACGCACATCAACAGACATGCTCTGCCAGGACGCATCAAATAACTTGTGCCCATCCAGAAGACTAGAAACGCCAGCCTTGCCCTTGCAGGGAAGTAATTTCAGAAAGGGTGTCAGGTTCTCCGTGCAGACAACTTCTCCGGGAAGCGTTCCATGCAGCAGATGCAGGTCACTAGAGGCGGGATGATCACCGATAGGGTCAAATGATACAACTGGTCGAGTCGTTCGAGTGGAGTCAATAAAATTCAGCGATGCGCAGAACAGACCAGACAGTGACTGGGTCAAGGATATCCATCGTGCAAATGCGCTGGACGAAAGTCAGCTCCGTATACATGTCGAGGAATTGCGTCTGGTTCCCAGATCTAGACCCACCTTTCGCTGTCCGGTGCATCGATCCATGCCCATAGCTCTACACCAGTATTGCCCTCCTTCGTCCCGTTCCAGGGACGTGTACCCCAGCTTTCATCATCCCATCTCCCTGTTGTGAACCGAATATGTAGCTCCTTGGTCTGGGTGTGTTGTAGGATTTGGCCTAGAGCACGGGGGAAGTAGCGAAAGTGCCGTTGATCAAAGGCCTCTTGCGAAGTGTTGCCTCTGAAGTTGAAGGACGCTAGCAGGGAGGATTGAGGAAGCGGTTGGAGGACGAGAGCTTCATGGTAGTCCGATGCGGCGGAGGTGAAGGTCGCCAACGCGATCAGTAGGGACAGTAGGGGAAGAAAGGAGCGGACAACCATCACGTCATTCTTGCCGTCTAAAAGCCTCGAGATACTATTGCGGTATGATCTTGACCTTTCCTAACTACTCAGGGGTATCATCGAGTGGGGTTGTGGTGCATTGAAAATGTTCATGATGTCCGTGAGAGCTGGCCCTTTGAACCGATTGAGTTTAGTCTCTGGATCTATATGACAAGGTGAGCACAAACTACACATGATCAAGATGTGTCGCATATTATTAGTTTCTGAGAGTAATTGTATGAATAATAGCATGAACATTAGACAATAGCTTTCCCATAATTAGGCCCTTTTATCAATTAATTCTTGTTCATCTAACAATCCTTCTATTCTGTTCCCTACGGAAGAGATGTACCTGATGCTCACATAAGCGCAGCCGCGTTTAGCGCCACGCCTCAGATAATCCCGGATCTTCAGCGTCACAATCGAAACCATCGCCAGCCAAGCTGAAATTCCTCTCTTTCGCGCTCAATAAGCTGTCGCCAGCTTTCCGTCATCATGGCAGCCGAACAAAGAAAGCTGCTCGAGCAGCTTATGGGAGGTAAATTATTGGACAATCTACAAATTTCGAATTATCTCTGAATCAAGCTGACGGAAATCTTCTCACAGCGGACCAGCTCATAGGTACCGGCGGCGCCTCTCGCAGTGCGCAGCTACAGATTACGGACCCTAAGGTCTGTCGCTCGTACCTGGTCGGAACTTGCCCGCATGATCTCTTCACCAACACCAAGCAAGATTTGGGCCCTTGTCCCAAGGTACACAGTGAGGGACTGAAGACGGAGTACGAGACCGCCTCAGCGGCCGAGAAGGCGAAATGGGGCTTTGAGTTCGATTACATGCGCGATATGCAGAAATATATCGACGATTGTGATCGCAGGATTGACTCCGCCCAGCGACGGTTAGAGAAGACCCCGGATGAGATCAGACAGACAAACAACCTGGTAAGGGCGAAACAATTCCACCGAGCTATCAGGAGAACATTCACTGACTCTCGTACAGCTGAAACAAATCTCCGACCTCGCAAAGACCATCAATACCGGTCTCCTTGAAGTTTCCGTTCTCGGTGAGACTGGTGCTGTGGCCCAAGCGCTCAACGAACTACACAAGATTCGCACCGCCAAACACCAAAAGGAGACCTGCGAGCGCGAACTCAAGAATCTTCAAGATACCTCCGGTCCATCCGGTCATCAGAAGCTGCAAGTCTGCGACGTCTGCGGTGCTTATCTGAGTCGTCTTGATAACGATCGCCGGTTGGCCGACCACTTCTTCGGCAAAATGCACATGGGTTATTCAGACATGCGCAAGACGTACAAAAAGCTCAGCGAAGAGCTCAAGGGGCGCCCACCTCCTGTCCGTCACCATGATGATGACGAAGGCGGTTGGGGTGGCCGCTCAGGTGGTGGACGAGGCCCTCGTTATGGTGGTGGTGGCGGATACAGGAAACGAGGCGGGCGGTGGTGATTGAGATGCCTACTGATCGTGGTTTCTTTCCAGGTATTCAGACCGGAATTTGCATAGCGCAGGCGTTGATTCTCTTTTCTTCATACCTAGGATTTGATGAAATTGCAGTATGTGGACGTGATAGGCTTGTTTACATGTCAATAAATAATGAACGCAGCATAGCATAGCCATCATTCTATCTTTATATTAATCTGGCCCGCATAGCAGGGGTATGATTTGCGGACAAATTAAATGTCAGTGTGAATGTAGTAACTCCTTTATATTGACGTAAATACCACTAGAACACTATCTCATGTCTTTATCAAGGACGTCCCGGGATCCCAAGTCCCAAGACTAGCTCTGGAAGAAAATTGGAATTGATAACACCGAAAGAAAATTAATGATTGTTTGAGACTAGGTTTGAAACTAGAGCTGAAACACAAAACTGCAATGAACTCCATGTAAAACAAAAGAGATCCCGAGGATATCAAATTGCATAATCCATCCACAAGAGGCAAAAAGGCAAATCCGAATGCAACCTTAGGATATTCTTCACCATCCAGTAACTTTTACCCTCAACCCGCCAAAAAGAGCAGCATATTCACACAAAGACATTAAAACGAAAGACCAACATCTGGTATATAATGGCCTGAATCTAGCTGGCGTTTTGCAGTGGACCATGTCCATTCGTGGTAGCTTGATATAGCGCCTGCATTAACATCTCGTAATTTGAAGCCGCCTCTGGCTGTCGTAGGATAATGTCACGGACAACACTCAGTTGGGAAACATCAGCATTCGGAGCCTGCTGCAGGAGTTGCTGAATTGCAGGAGCAGTTGCCTGAGCACCAAGCACCTGCACTGCGGCTGCCATACCGGTGACAGGCATCTGACTATGTGGCTCTGGAGGTTGATACCCCTGGGACTGAGAAGCCGATTGAGTTGGCTCCACCTGCGACTGCGGCTGCTGCGATTGCAGCGATTGTGGAGGCTGGGAAGCATAGGAATTGTGGGCTGGCATTGTGCCTGAAATAGCGGATGGCGGAGTGGGAGACATTTGCGACATCTGCCTCGGTCCAGGTGTCAGAAACTGGTGTTGCTGGGGTGTCGCTGCGACGGTGACAGGACTTGCGAAAGACGCAGGCTCCTGACTTGGATGGTGTGACGATGACTGTACTGAAGGAGGATTCGATTCGCCTGTTTTGACTGCGAAGACCACCAATAGTACTCGCTCCGGAGTAGGGCCTTCAAGTGTATTGTTTTCCAAAAGCTCGATAAATTCGGGCTTCTTGGTCGATCCAGCCTCGATGGGAATTACGTAGGTATCTTTGACGGCTGGAAACGGATGTTTTCCGATAACCCCATATCGCTTCCGGTCTTGGAAATAGTTGAAGAGCTTGTCGAACCCTTTTTGATCTTTGGGGGATTCTGGGCGACCGATGGAGATGACTGAAACGTCTGTCGAGGAACTGAAACGCAAACCACAGAGATAATTGCTCGCCAGCTGAATGTCGATTCGCCCATCGACCACCAAGGTCGACGGTGCAAGCTGACTCCACGGTATCCTGTCACTTAGTTCAGCTCCTCCAACATGTTTCGCTGAAGATGAGAAATCAGCCACCGGGTTCATGACAACCTTCCCACGCCAGATAATTCCCTCGTCGCTAAAATCTTTCGGGGAATAGGGAGGCGATTCGGGTTCGACGTCTTTCAATAACTTGTCAATCTCTGCATCAGCCTGGGCCTTGCCAGTCGGCAACATTTCACGTATGTGAGTTGAGACCTCTGGAAAGACTTGGTCATGATCAGCGGCGCCAGGAGAATGCAATGTAGGCCCCTCTCGGGCCTTGGTGTCCGTCACTTTAGTGTCGATAGGTATCGGTTTGGCAGCCCTTGGCGCACTGTCATCCGGCTGCTGATGAGCCTGGGGACTCGCTGGACTTCGGTCTGAAGGGCTTGCGTCAACTTCAGCCACGCTTCGGCGGGTCGGCGCAACCGAAAACACTGGCTCGCTGGCGACGGTTTGATTCTCATCTTCAATGAACTCTTCTCCTTTATGAGTTCGCCTTATTCGTGGACCTTGCTCCTCCACGATGATGTGCTGCCTCTCGGCCTCGCGCTTGATTTCGGCATCCTTCTGCTGAAGCTCCTCACTTGCCATATCCTGACTGCTCATCTTAGAGAGCGCATCTGGAAGCAAACTACCTACGAGCAGGCGATCCCGTAGAGAAGGATTCTTCTTTACGTTGAACAAGATCGTCCGCAGTTGTAATTTATATGGTTCAGTGGGTTCTCCAGATCCTCCGCAAATATTCTGATACATAGCCTTCTCGATTGAAAAACCGAGCTGCTGCGCTATCTCTTTCGCCGATCTTCCCTCGGGTAATTTGAAAGACCCTTGCTTCTGTGCATCAGAAATTTGATCTACAAATAACTTGACTAGAGCACTGGCAGCACTTCTTCTTGCTGGGTTTGAGATATCGTCCAAAGTACCCGATTCCTGCGTCGCAGACTTTTCAGAAACGGAGCTTTGGCGCGACGGAGGAGCATTCGAATCTTCCTTAAACGGAACAGGCTTGTCGTTGAGAGGAGTCACTGAAGCAGCTGGTGAAGTCATCTTTATTTGCTTGGGTTTTGGTCCCTGCTGGTAGACATTAGCAACCGTCACTATTTTCGGTAGGAAAAGCAGTAATAGTCAAATCTTACCGTCTCGGAGGCCGCAGCCTCTTGATGTACCTCAAATTTCCTCTTCTGGGTGCTCGCTGGGCGGGCATCTGGAATGTCACCGTTCTTCTCGGGGACGGGGGTCACAACGGGCGGAGGGGCCAGTGGAACAGGAGTCGGAGCGGGCGTGGCAGACGCCGCTTTACTGCGGGTTGGGGTGCCTGTATCCGGTTTGGGCTCGCTTGGCCTGCCCTTTCTACCACCTTTCCTGCCTTTCCTGCGACGTGCGGCCTTCTTTTCTTCTGCCTGCTGGCGTCTCTTCTCGGCTGCTTCCTCCCAAGGCTTCTCACCACGCGCGATCTTGTCCAAGAGAACTTTATGATTCTCAGGTCGGCATAGTTCACAGAAGTATTCGTCAGGCACCTCGCCTTTCGCAAATGTGAGGCCCATGCAGTCATTGTGTTGCCAGGCGGAGCACTGGTCACAGCAGATCATATCTCGTTCAATGTCTTCCTCTTCTTCATATTCTCCGCATATACACCGAATGATTTCTTCTTCTTCGCTGACGGCAGGCGTCGGCTCGACGGAGGTTTTCGGGAGCTTCTCAAGTTTATCCTTCGATTGAGCTTTCGCTTTCGATTTCTTCGCAGGTGTCTCGGTTACCATATCCAGGTTTTTGTGTTGGCCTTTCGTAGAGCGTCCAGAGCGTCGCGGTTCTTCTGATCTCAGCAGTTAGCGAGCTATTCAGTCACGGTTCGGGGTTCGCATCCAGTCGCCACAACTTCAGTTGAGGTGACGCCGCGCGCACAAAAGATGTACTATAGGCTTACCAGTCATGATGGGCATGTGATATGGCAAAGGATCTCTGAATATCTACAGCACGTGGCAGGGTAGGTGTTATTCCAAAGACAAGTTGTGCAGCTCACCCAACAGCTGGCTTTCTACGGTATCCGAGGGGCTAAAGTAATACGCAGGGGAAAAGACTGGACAGTGGCACTGTTGCCTAGCCCACACAGGTATTCCTTGATCCTTCAAAAGACTGTCTCTGCTTTATTTACCGAAGAACGCGTGCGAACCCAGTGTACCAGCAAGCTGGGTGTGGGCCTTTGGAGGCTTTTGTCGCGCCGAGTCCTAGCGTGAGGAGTCGCGTGAGTATCGTCCTGCACGGGGGGTCCCCTTGGAAACAGTGGGTTTGATGATGGCAATCAAAGATATTGCTGGTCGCGACAGTAGTTCGTATAAAATTCGGCGTTGAGTAAACGGCAAAGGATGAAAATGCGATGAGAGAGTGGGTTGAGGGAAGGAATGAAGGAGAGGAGATGTCGTGCTACTTGTAGTGAGTAATCAGGCACGTGACCGAGGCTCGGTGGGGAGAGGTCTTGGCAGACGCCAGTCGCCTTCTGTCGCGTAAAGTAGTTTTGATGTCCTTGAAGCTTCTCCAGACCCCCGCATCTTGACAACCACGCCTTTTCACAAAACTTTATTGATCTGACTGAAGCACTCTCGGGAAATTTATTGTACTCACATTTAACCTGTTAGTCCATCTACTGGGATGGCAGATGTTCGCTCGTTACTTCGAAGTGAGCTTGCTGCTCGCAATGGCGCACCACAAGCAGGAAGTACCGGTAATCGAGTTACCAAGAAGCGGAAGGTCGATATCACGGATGACTTGACGCGAAAGAAGATGAGGCCTGGTGAAAAAAGTGCAGATTCCCAATCGCCGACAGTACATACTTTGCAACCACCAAGCGCGCAGGCGATCGATGAAGTGGAGGATGTGGAACAACTAGAAGAAGAAACTGCTGGCCTAGAACTTCCGCCGGACTCGAAAGCCTCCCAAGAGCAGGCCCAGGCACAGTCTAAGCCGTTGCTCGAATCGAATACACCTCAAGCTATCGATGAGGACGAATGGGCAGCATTTGAACGTGATGTGGTGGCGCCAACTCGTGTGCCCCAGGCACCTGCTGCAGTTGCTGCAGCAGCGACGATATCGGCCGCACCAATCTCGGCCGAGCAACTGGCTGCCCAGCAGGAGGCAGAAAAAGGAACGTCAATACAAGCACGTGAAGCTGAGATCGAAGGGGAACGAGAAGACGCGGCTCGGTTCTTGGAGGATGAATTCGATGAAATGGAGCAGCTTGAAGAACGGATCAGGCGCTTGAAGCATAAGAGGGAAGAACTGAGACATAAACGAGCCAAGGAAGCTTCAGAGATGCCTCAGACAGAAGGATCCTCGTCCGGGAAACCACCAGGGGAACAGCAGATTGATGGGACTAAACAAAGTGACGAAGAAGAAAACGATGACGATGACGACGATGATGTGGATGACGATGACTGGGACAACTGGAGATTTAGGTAAT